ATGTACACAAAACTCGTCTTTTTTTAAATATTTTTCATATTAAAAAAAATTGTCGACTTCTCATATAAACAATTTTAAAAAATGTCAGATTTGTGTAAATTTTATCGTAAAAAAAGATTTAAAAACTTTTTAACCTAGACAATTTGTAGAGCTCGACGAGCACTATCGAGCAATGTAAAAATAATCAAAGACTTTTCTCGACTTTTGAATTACTTGTACCTTACTAAAATTCATAATACCGATATTATTTTGTAGTTTTTTATGCTATTTTTGTCTTATCATTGAAGTTTGTTTGTTTTTACTACATTTTATATTCAAGGATTTTTCGTATTAAATAAGTGTGTATAGACAGTGTTCGATCTCTACTATATAGGAATATAACCAAATTAAATTAGTATTGTATAGTTTTAATACATGACTTCCAACAAAAAATTGGTACGAAACTTTTGAGTTGCACTGTAGTTTGAGATACAGGTAGTTGAATACTACCATATCTTTAGTATAATTAAGACATTTCGATATAAAACCTGGACTAATACGAAATTGTGAATAAATTCAGATAAATCGTACTATATGATTTTGTCTAATCATATAAGATCATGGTGTTGGCTCTTATACGTAACTTATAGTCAGTCTTGACCTAAGATTGCATGAATCATGGTTTTGCGTACAACTTTTCGTATGGTCTTCTCTTAACATATAAGATCTCAGTCTAACATCTGATCTGATCGTGCAAGAGTCTTTGAAAGATCTTACTCTCTGATTTATTGATCTGGAATCTCTTTGGATTCACTTTCTGCAATAATGGAATTATAAACTATTAATATAAGTTAGTCTCAGTGACAGACTTCAAGTACAAAGAGTTTTGAACAAAAACAGTTTTGGAGAAAAAATATTCAACATAATTGTTTCACAACATAAATATTGTAAATATTCTCCAGTCAACAACAACTTTACAAGCCTCTTTATGTTTAATACAGTGTTCTTCAGAAAAGATACGATTCAAGTTAATTTGGCACTAATTAGAAAAGACTTTCATACCTGTGCATCGCGAATGTAAACTGGTGTACGTGTGCTGTGAAAGAATGTATCGCTGCGTTTGCAACTATTGCTTCCTAGTAACCAGAGAAATGAACATCGGAAGACGGTAAAAAAACTGAGATACATAATTGATGTAAGTATCCGTCGTGTTGTAATACAAGGTTTACACGTGTGCTGCAAAGTAAAAATACTTTGGTAGAATAAGAGAATCGTTGATATTTGATAGCTGTGCATTCGATTGTGACAAAAGAACAGAAAGACAAAACAAAAGTATGCTTAATGCTCTTAAAAAGCGCTTATCACACGTTACAAGACATCAGAGTTTATTGACGACTATTTATCAAATATGAAAAAGAAACGTATTTTTTTCACTTTTTGCGTTCTTATATGTCTTCTCATTTTTTACGCTAGAAGAAATGTTGATCGAGACGCTCAACTCAAATTAGGCAGAGACGAAGAATGGGTATTAGCTCGTCATCTCCTTGACAAGGAATTGGATCGTCCTCACTACCGGAACGCTATTGGCAGCAAGATGATGGACGAAAAGTCAATACGTACCATCCTATACGAAGTTCGTCAAGGTGTCAAAGTCGACAAAAGTCGAGAACATCTTCGATAATTACTAGACAAAAGACAACAACATATTACTTATTTCTATTTTGCTGCTTGTTACTTATTGGTTTTTCGTATTAAATATCTACAGTGATTTATTCGACCGAAATTTCTTTGTCGGCAGGTGAAAATTCTGTTTCTGTGTTGTTGCTTCTCAAAAACTAAATCGCTGTTGAATGAAACAATTGATGTTTGTTTAAAAGATTTTGCTGTCTTTAGACGGGTGTGGATGTGAGAGAAGATTGAACGTAACCTCAAGTTCATGATATCTACCATATTCTAATTTCTCGTATAATGAAATAGAAAGATAGTTATCTAGTGAAAGTCTTTATATTCGAATTCTACCGATATAAATGGATATTTTGATAAGATTGCAGTTGACACCAATACGATCAACAAGAGACAATGAAAACATACCTGTTCTTGGCTTACACAACAATACCATCACAGCTTATTTACATTATTTCTCATATTAATGTTCTAAGTCAATCTAATGCTTCTAAATATTCATAGAAAACCAGAAAGATTTCTGTTCATGATTGCATTAAAGAAAGATTTGTTTATTCTCTTGTTTTCTTTTGAATAACAAAACAAAGACAAACATGATAAATATCCTTTTTCAATGAACAAAATCAGACATTCTAGAGTCTACAAAAGGAAACAAGAGTCATTATAAAAAAGAAAAAGAAAAAAGATCGGCAAAATAATGAAAATGAACAAAGATGATAATAACATAACAACAATGATGATGATGACAATAATAAACATTCGCCTAGAAGGAATGAATAAAATGTTTTGTTTTGTTTTTATTGTCTATTAATTTTATTTTTCATTTATTCAACTTTCGTTTTTGGCATTTCATCACGATGATAAAGTACAATAAAACTAAGAAGAAAAGCGCCAACCATCATTGAAAATGATGAAATATAATATGGATATGCCGATGTTATAAATCGTTCATATTCTGTATGACGTAAAGGATGAACGGAGACCTAGAAATAGTAAATAGACAAAGATTGTTAAAGTCAGAATATTGCTACATTTTCATATTTGATTTTCCCAGAAACTCAGATGAAGCTGAAATGTACGAATTTTAAACGCTATAGTGGAAGCAATATCTGACATAACCTCGTTGGTCAAACGATTGGTGAAAAAAACCGAACTAGATGATAAATGGCTTTTTAAATGAAATTAGAAAATATCTACGATGATCGATCCTTAAGAGTCTTGATATTGATGCAGTGTTTTATTCAGTGTGAAATCAAGAGTGGTGTTTCTTCGAAGATCGAATTTGCCCTCTCCCCAGAAGAGAAATCTGAATGAAACTTTGTTCTTGAATTAGAACTGTATTAGCTTTGTAGGAAAAGAACTTCAATTGTCAGTATTTATTGTCCATAAAGAGATCTCATGCTCCCCAGTTTTTTGATAAATCCGTGTAGTTTATAAAGTATTTTACAAAATTGAATTTTTCAGCAATTCTACAGTTCTGAAGAACTAATAATTCAGAATAGTTGAAACTTTTAGTACATTATGCGAACCCACAGCATGTGTTTATGAACGAATAACTGACATTCGAATGTTTTTGACATGCTCTAGCATTATTATTTTATAGTGTGAGGGTTGCGAAGATGATAGCCACCCAGAAGAGAAATTCTCCATTAAACAGTGCTTATAAGTGAATCTATACATAATTGTTTAGTAATTCTTGAAATAGATCTAGTAGATAGAGTATACATCAAAGTGTTTATATAACAGAAAAATAGAAAATCCGAAAATTTTGGGTCGAGAAAAGGATGGAGACTATCTCCGTAAATCTACCTGTGTAGCTGAGAATAAATGTGTATAACCAATACGATTATAATCAATAATAAATTTATAAATTCCATAAGTATCTGGAACACGAAATTGTGCTTCAAGTTGACCACCTAAATTCAAAATATTTTATTATTAAAAAAAAGAAATATATTTATAAATATTCATACCGTTATTTTTCATAGTTGTTCGAACAAATGGATCAATACGAACAAATTCTAATTGAACATCAGTTCCATTGAATGGCATCCATTTACCATGAACAAATTCATCAAATTGTACATTAAATACCTTAAGAAAATAAATAAAATAAATTTTCTTCTCTTGTCGTTTTTTTCTTTCTATTTACAATGTCATTTTTAATTGTATAAAAACTTGGTGTTGTTTTATCTTGTTTTAAATAATGACGAATATTTCTTGCACGTAAAACACCACGTTGTTTAAATACCCAATCAGTTAATGCAATAGCTAATTCTTCATTACCAGATTTAGCTGATCTAAATTGAAATGATTTT